GCCAAAAGATAATGAAAAAGATGTAAATCCAGCTTAAAAGATATGCCCTATGGCAGGCCTTTTCCTGTGTACTATTTCACAGAAAAATCTTATTGCTGAAATTCATTTTTAAACTCTAGATTGAAATTGCTATCTATTTTACCACCTTTCCATCTTTCTCTTATCACATGTGCAGGTTCCCCTGGAGCCGGATATAGATGATCACCTCTTCCCCTCGGTTGACACCTGGGATCGATTCGACCCCTATAACCATTTTGAGCGATATGGCGAGCCAGTAGTTACTGAGGAGGGAATAGAGCGGCAGGAGAAACCCTGGTGGTGGAGCTACTTCTCCCAGTCTGGCATCTCATCTCCAAACTGGCTGCTGAAAAATGTATAGAATGATTTTGGAAAAGCGGACGTTCACATGCATTCATGTAGCAGTGGCTCTGACACTGACTTTCAAACCTTTCATCCGAGCATTTTGAAAAATATTTTAAGATTTTGGGGCCAATATTATTCTGCTCTCTGGATTTAACTCAGTTTGAACAATAAATAAATAAATGAATAAATAAATAAATAAAAGTAGGGATGGCACAGTATTCATCACAAGTAGAAACGTGCACTTAAAATAAATCAATTTCTAATGATCTACTGTGTAAAATATTCCAGTTTTAAAATTTGAGTTTGATGTGTTGTTTTTGATGTCATACATTAAATACAAAATCTTCCCGTTTTTATTTTTTATTTTTATCTTTTGTAAGCCAAAAGGAAACAGTGGAGCATTCAGTCCGGTCAATATCAAGCACCTGAACTAAATTAAAGCTTTCCATAGAAGGGTTTGTACCATCACTGTGTACACAGTTAAATGGCTTGCTTTGATTCTTGCTTCAGGGTAAAATAAATATGAATATGAAAAAAAATTGGGTTACATTTTCTTTATCCGGTATTTTTTATTTAATTTTTTTACCTTAAGATTCTTTAAATGCCTCCCTTTGTCCAGCAGAGGCTACCACAGAATAAGGCATACCAACTGTTGAAATGTACTATTTTACAAAAAATAAAATGTTAACATTCTATCATGGAAAAAGCTAATTGTTTAAAATGTAAGGTTAAAGATATGTCCCTAAAGATAAGTCCCCAAACTGCAGCTTTATCCTTGAAAGCTCACTTGATATGACTCCATATTTTGTTATAAAGCATCAAAGTAAGATAAGAGAACTAAATAAAGAATTATAAATATATCTTTGTCAGGATTTGGAGTTGGTTTGGACGACCCAAATGCAGAGGCCAGTAGGCAGAGGTGAATTTAATTGGGTTTACTAAGGTTCACAGGAACTGAGGCAGGAATCAAAATCCAACAGAAAATAACAAACGCACCACAACCAAGGAGACATCAGGGGTAAACCAAAACTAGGAGCCAGGGAGAGACGAGGAAAGCAGACAGACGTTAGACGAGAATCCAGCAAACAGGAACTGAAGGCTTTTAAAGGGGACAGAGACAAAGAGAGGGCTAACGAGGGTGAGGGCAGAACAGAAAACAGAGCAAGGGAAAGGACACAACAGGGCAGCAGAGGACAACAAATGGAAAACCAAGAAAAACGAACTAACAAACCAAGACTCTGACAGTACCCCCCACTTAAGGGCGGATCCCAGACGCCCTAAAATGTCCAGAAACAAAAAACAACCCACCCAGGGTGGGCGGAGGGGGAACCAGGAAGGAAGGCACAAAAACAAAACAGAGTCCGAAAACAAAAAACAACCCACCCAGGGTGGGCGAGGGCAACGAAAAGTCTCTGGAGGCAGACGAGGAAGAGTCTCTGGAGGCGGGCCGTGGGGCCGAAGGCGTGGCAGACGCTCTGGAGGCCGGCCGCGGGGCCGGAGGCGAGGCAGACGCTCTGGTGGCCGGCCGCTGGGCCGGAGGCGTGGCAGACACTCAGGAGGCCGGCCGCGGGGCCAGAGGCGTGGCAGATGCTCTGGAGGCCGGCCGCGGGGCCGGAGGTGTGGCAGACACTCAGGAGGCCGGCCGCGGGGCCAGAGGCGTGGCAGATGCTCTGCAATTAATCTGCTCTGCAGATGCTAAACAATTAAACACAACCAAAAGTCCAGATCATGACAGTGATTGTTTTGCATAAATTACATTAATGACATTAAGGCACTATTCTTCCTAATGCCTTAACATTTGTCTTTTAAAATTTAATTGTTATTATTAATATCACACCTCTAGTGTAAAATGGATTAGTTCCAGTTAAAATTAAAGCCAAGTCAACCATGGACGTGTTCATGATGCAACAGGATAAACAGGATGTGAATGAATTCCTTGCAAAGAGCAATATATTAGAAGTCATGATCTGGATCCTAAACATGTTCGTACTAAGTTAAAATTCCCATAATGACCCTGAACAAACACAGACATCACACCTGAATTATGAAAAGTACCACAGAGTCATCATTTAGCAAGTGGATGTTTAAATGTTTTGTTTTATTTATTAATTAATTTAATAATTTATTGTTGTTGCTTTCAGTACAATACAGTTTACGTCTCACCTAAACCTTATAGTGACCTGTATGGAAAACAGGATAGGTCCAGGGTGGGTGACGGGGGCACGGAAGAAGGGTGTTACGTCCCGGACAAGCCCCCAATTTATGTTACGTCCCCTGGCTGAGTCTAAGGGATGTAAGGGACCAACATAAATTTAGACAGTATATGAAGGAGTCAAAAGGGCATTTTATTCTGACATTTCTTTTGAATAAATTGTGGTAAAAGCTTTAGGGAGAGCCCAGGCCACAATAACAAACAAAACAACCCTAAAGAAAAAGAAAAGTGGACTTACCTAACTCAATTTGAAACCAAAATATACAAACCTACAAAATAACCTAACCAACACATAAACAGGAGAAAACTGGGGTTAAACAAGAGGGCAGCTCTCCCCTACAAAAACCATCCAAGAAGGTTTACATGGTCGCAATCTAAACAGTCCTTTTAGATTTTACAATTAACACAGAGGTGTATGGCAGAGAAATGGCTCAAAAAAGCCCTGAAGTACTGCTTTACATGCCTGTAATAGTCTTCAGGTGATCTTGATTGGACTGAGACTCAGAAAGCAGCAGCCAGTCTTAAAGGCGGAGCCTAAAAGAGAGCAAGGTGTTAATTGTACATCTTGGGGATGTAACAGAGGGCATGAGGGACTAGGATCACAGGCTTAATCATGGAGACATAGAACACGGGGTACATCCTAACATGGGGTGGCATCATTAGGCGTACCACTGTGGGCCAGGGAGAAAAACATTGACAGGACCAATAAATCTAGGAGCCTGTTTTCTGGGCATAGACTTCAGTTGGATGTTCCTTGCGGCCAGGGCCAGCCAAACCTCCTTATCTGGGGTGTAGCCTGGGGTGGTAGTCATTTTAGCCAGATGCTTGTTTCTCTGCAGTTAAGGGTAGCTTCTGTTCTCTACCAGTTACGTTTGCAGTGTTGAATGAGGGAAAAAGTGGCGGTTGGTAGCCCAAGGAGCATTGGAATGGGAATACACCCATAGCTGAGGACACATGACAACTGTGGGAGTATTTCACCCACAACAGTTGGGAACTCCAGGTGGTGGGAATGCAGGAGCTAACACAGCGGAGGGTGGCCTTGAGTTATTGGTTCATATGCTGTTTGCCCATTGGTCGGGGGATGAAACCCAGAACTGAGGGTAATCTTGGCCCCGAAAGTGGCTCCTAACTCCTTCCAAATTCCAGAGATGAACTGAGGGCCCCAGTCCAAGAGGATTTCTTGTGGAATGCCAAGTAGGTGAAACACGTTTTATCAACAGATGGGACGGTAGGAGTTTTCTCACGGGAACTAAGTGAAAGGCTTTGGAAAATGGTCCACTATGGTAAGTATGATCATAAACCCATGAGATAGAGGAAGCCCAGTGAGAAAGTCCAAAGCCAAAATGAGACCGGGGGGGCTTAGGGATTGGCATGGGCTGGAGGAGACCCCTGGGGGGACGATTACTGGTCTTGTTACGGGCACAAATGTGACAGCCAAGAACATATTCTTTGACATCGCTGTGAAGAGAAGGCAATCAGGTTGATGGTGTGGCTAACCCCAGTGTGACATGAAAATTTGGATGGATGTGCCCAGTGAATCAGGCATGGATGAACAGTACTTGGTACAAATAGCAGTTAGGGGGGCCACCACCTGTATCAGGCTCTGCCTTTTGAGTTTGTAAAGCCAATTCTCAGATTTTCCAAGACAGAGTTCTAATCACAGAAGGGTGGGCTAGGACCATATTTGGCATAGGGTTTTCATCAGTTGAAAGCTGTCAGGAAAGGGTGTCAGGTTTGAACACCTTGCTATCTGTTTGCTCATGAACATTTCACCAACAAACCATCAAAAAGAGTAAAAATCTGACTAAACATTTCAGAAAGCACCTGATTGCACTGATTCCCTCAACATTTTAGTTTAGGAGCTCCATTGTGCTGGTTTACCTGTTTTTTTGTTTTGTAGTGGTATAGAAATATATGTATTGCTATACAAATAGCTTTCAGGTGCGAGGTTCAGGTTGGGCAAAGTGGGCGTGGTATATAAGAAGCCGCTGCGCCCAATCGGACACACGTCTTCCTCAAGCTTTGGCTGTGACTCGCGTCTCAGGGACTGACAGTCGAAAGGCATGACATTAGGTGCATGCTGCTCTGATCTTGCTGGTAGGTTTCCCCTCTCTTTGCACTATTGCTGCTCATTCACAGAAGATCTAAAACGGGTGTGATCATAGGCAAAACGCTACTGTGCGGCTCTCCTCCTCGTCGTCGGTTTGTGTGTGTGTGTGCGCATACATGAGTTTGTCTGGATTGGGAGGTAAGAAGTAACGCTCATTGTTAGCGCCAATTTGTTGCAGTTTTGTTAAATAGTGACTAACTTTTACAGGTCTCCCCATATTACCATTGCTGCTCTGTTGATATTCCGGATTCTGCGCATCATCAACCTCGGATTGTGGTGGCGGCTGCACGCCCTAATTGAAGTGGTGTTTGGCACCGGCGCGCTCCGTTCACCTCCTATTGTTGTGTGGCCAGAGGGTCGCACTGGATTCGGATATTTTAATTTGTTTTTCTTTATTTTTGTCCCAGCCTGTTGGTGTGGTATAACTATTTATATATTTAGGTTGATATTGTTTTCTTTTTGTTGTACATTTTGGCTCGTTGTCTGTATTAATTTGTTTTTTTCTCTCTCTCTCTGCTGACAGTGCTGAGGCCCGGCGGCGGTGTTGGTGTGGTGACGGTGTCTTCCTTTTTTTTTGTGTGCCGTGATTCCTGAGTTTGGGTCTTCTCACTGCGTCTGGTGCTTTACAGGGGTTTTGTTTGCTGTGTTTGGGTGGATCCCGTCCTATGGTGGCCCCCTTCCGCCGGTAACCTCAGCTACTGTAGTTACTTTTCTTTTTTTCTCTTTAGTGTTATAAAGAATTGGTTTTAAAAAGAATATTTTAAGAAGCCTCTAATAAAAAGCTGTTTGTACATTTTAAAATTGTTTCAGATGTCTTAATCCATGCATGAGCGAACTTGTGTGTCCTGTCAAAAAGGGGAGTAATATTCCTTGGGTGAAATTCCCAAGGTGGCGTTGTGGAGCAATTTTATTTGCGTTCAGAAATTTATAATTTCCTGATTTCAATCTAGTCTTGCCACATTTTTGGCGTTGCTGGTAGGACTCATGCTTTTTATGAACATCTGAGACAAGAAGTTTTTAAATATTTGTGTTTTTTTTTTCTTCTTTTTTTTTTTTTTTTGTTTGTGCAGATTGGCTAATCCGTCAACAGAGCAGCAGTGGTTTCGTGCAGAGCATCAAAGCGGTGGGTGAGGTGTTAAGAGTTAACCTTAGGTTGTAATTCTGCACTGTAGTAATCACAAGAAGCAGAATAAGCTTGTGATAATTATGGAAGAAGAAATTCAGGAACTTAAAGAGCTGGTAGCAAGCTTAAGAGCTGACAATGAGCGGTTGCGACAAGGACAGGCTAGCTTAAGTGCTCAGCCATCCACTTCTTCAGCATTGCCTAATGCCCCTCCTACACCTAGTCTCCCTGTAGCAGAGAGACTGATTTTTGTGCCTAGAGATAGGAAATGTCCCATCTTTAGAGGAAGGACAGGTATAGGTTTGAGTGAGTGGACTGAGGAAGCAAGATTGTGTATGAGAGCCCGGCATCTGTCTGTAGCTGACCAAGCGTTTTTCCTGTTTGATCACCTGGAGGGAGAAGCTAGAAATGAAATAAAGTATCGCTCTAGTGCAGAGAGAGAGGACCCTGCTAGAATATTTGAGATCCTACAAGAGTTGTATGGTTGTTCTGAGTCCTATGTTGCTCTTCAAGAGGCCTTCTTTTCTAGAAGACAACAAGAGGGAGAGAGTCTTCAGGAGTTCTCCCTCGCATTAATGGGCCTTATGGAGAGGGTAAAACAGCGTGCACCTGCTGGTATGTTGAATTCTGAGACACTGTTAAGAGATCAGTTTGTTGAACAGGTGTTGGACAGTTCCCTGAGACGCGAGTTGAAGCAGCTGGTACGCACAAGGCCTGACAGTACTTTACGTGAGGTTAGGGCCGCAGCAATCCAGTGGGAACGCGAAGGGGTACCTCATGGTGGGAGGAACCGTAGCCAGTCGCTTCCTTCAGTTTATGGCGTCCAGTATGGGGTACATGGTGGTCCTCCGGTAGCTTCTTTAACATCAGCAACGGAGATGAGTCAAATAAGAGAAATGCTAAAGTGTCAGCAAAAGCAGCTCCAGCAGCTTAGTGAGAGCATTTCTCAGTTGCAGAATTTCCACCGCCCTAATCATCCACGCACCACTGGTCCAGTAATCTGCAGGCGGTGCAACCAGCCAGGTCATTTCGCACGAGAGTGTGATGGGGTGCGTGTCCCCCGTCGAACCCAATGTCCGCCAAATTCAGCTGCCCAGTCCCGTTCTGCTTCTGTGGCGGAAAACTAGTTCCCACCAAACTGCTGAGCCACAGTTTGGGTGGGGATGCTATTGGCTCACTAGCCACTATTGGAAGTTCGGGTGCTTCTAAGTTGATTTCAGATTGCCCTCATGCAGATGTAGTCATGGGTGGGGTGACAGTCCCATGTTTGGTGGATACTGGTTCGATGGTGTCCACGGTTTCTGAAAGCTTTTTTCGTCAGCATATGGAGTCTTGGGGTTCAGAGCACCTCCAGTCGTGTCATTGGTTGGAGCTTAGAGCTGCCAATGGTCTTAAGATTCCTTATATTGGCTATTTGGAACTTGATGTACACCTCTGTGGTAAATTGATTCCCCACTGTGGTGTTTTGGTTGTGCAGGACCCTGGTGGTGAGGTCCCAGCTAAGGTCCCAGGTGTTTTGGGGATGAATGTGATCAGGAAGTGTTACCAAGAACTGTTTGGGCAACATGGTGTAGCTTGGTCTTCTGTGTTTGGTGTTTCCGAGGCCCCTCAGTCAGTCATGCAGGCACTGCAGCAGTGCCAGTCTGCCAACTCACGAGAGCCTCGAGGTAGTCCTGGAAGGGTTAAGGTCAGGGGTAAAAAGGGCTGTCGGATTTCTGGTGGAGTCATGAAAATTGTGGCTACCACATGTTCTGATGTGTACTCAGGTTCTACTGTTTTGTTTGAGCCTTTAGAGTCTGGATTGCCTTCTGGTTTGCTTGCTTCCCCTGCCTTGGTTCAGGTAATCAGGGGTACAGCTTATGTGCCCATTATCAATGTTGGTACGACAGAGGTGGTGGTATACCCCCGCACTGTTGTTGGCACCTTAAATGTTGTCAATGTTGTTAGTCTCCCTGCAGGAATTACTGAAGTCCCAGCAAAGGTAGCTACGATGGTGTGCCAGACAGCCTCAGTTAATGTGCAACAGCAGGTGGAGGACCTGGATTTGTCCTCTTTGTCTGTGGAAGGACAGGGTCAGGTAAGGTCATTGCTCAATCAGTATATGACAGTTTTCTCCTCTCATGATGGTGACCTGGGCTGTACCAATGTGATAGCCCATGACATTCCTCTGGTCGACGATGTTCCAGTTAAACAACGCTATCAGCGTATTCCGCCTTCAGATTATGAGGTGGTGAAGGACCATATAAATCAGTTGCTTGCTTCACAGATCATTAGAGAAAGTAGCAGCCCATATGCATCTCCCATAGTCTTAGTGAGGAAGAAAGATGGGAGTATTCGTATGTGTATTGACTATAGAAGACTAAATAGTAAGACCCGGAAAGACTCTTTCCCCCTTCCACGAATAGAAGAATCGTTGGATGCCTTGTCTGGTGCATGCTGGTTTTCTACCCTCGATCTCGCTAGCGGATATAATCAGGTTCCAGTTGCGGAGGCAGACCGTCCAAAAACTGCCTTCTGTACTCCCTTTGGGCTGTTTGAATGGAACCGAATGCCTTTCGGGCTCTGTAATGCGCCTAGCACTTTCCAACGGCTAATGCAGCGGATTTTTGGGGACCAACAGTACCAGTCCGTCCTGTTATATCTTGATGACATTGTTGTTTTCTCTTCAAGTGTGGATCAACATCTGGAGCGCTTGAAAGTGGTGCTGGGCCGACTTCAACAACAGGGGCTTAAAGCAAAGCTCAGTAAATGTTCCTTCTTTCAAAAAGAGGTACGTTATTTGGGACATGTGATCTCTGGTGAGGGGGTTGCTACAGATCCTAGTAAAACTGAAGTTGTAGCCAATTGGCCAACTCCCACTAAGGCCTCAGAACTTCGGTCATTCCTTGGTTTTGCCAGTTATTACCGTCGTTTTGTGGAAGGTTTCGCAAAATTGGCAGCTCCATTGCATAAAGCGGTGGCTCAGTGTGGTGGTACCGGTAAGAAACCTGATCGTGGACTTGTTGCATGCTGGACTGATGAATGTCAAAAGAGCTTTGAAACCTTGAAGGCTAAGCTAACAACAACGCCAGTACTAGCCTATGCAGATTTCACTCAACCATTTATCTTGGAGGTTGATGCCAGCCATGGTGGCCTAGGAGCAGTCCTCTCACAAATGCAGGCAGGCAAAGTGAGACCGATTGCTTATGCTAGTCGAGGCTTGAGACCCACAGAGCGAAATATGGCAAATTACAGCTCCATGAAGCTTGAGTTTCTGGCCCTCAAGTGGGCCATGACTGACAAGTTTAGAGAGTATCTGTTGGGAAACAAATGTATTGTATATACTGATAACAACCCTCTCAGCCATTTGTCCACTGCTAAATTGGCTGCCACTGAACAGCGGTGGGCTGCTCAGCTAGCCTCTTTTGATTTTGAGATAAAGTATCGGTCAGGGCGGTGTAATACCAATGCTGATGCACTTTCTCGTCAGCACTCACCTGATCCGCCAGATGTGAAAGCAATGCTCCTAGGTACAGCTTTGCCTAAAGCATTGCAGGATGCTTTGGGGTTTGAAAAGGTTGAGGCAACCCAGGCGGCAGTTGCAGTTTTGCCGCAGCATACTACGGCTGAACTTTGTGCTTTGCAGCATGCTGATCCATTTTTACAGGACTTGCTGGTGTTCTGGAGGAAAGGACAGCATCCCAGTCGAGAGGAGCGAGCCCAGCTGTCCCCGTCCACTTTGGTTCTGCTGCGGCAGTGGGACCGGTTTGTCGAGAGAGATGGAGTTCTCTATCGAAAGGTATTTAGGTCAGATGGTGGTGATGCTGTGTTTCAGTTGGTGCTGCCAAGTGTGCTAATTAAGGATGTTCTGACTAAAGTCCATGAAGAGCATGGTCACCAGGGAGTGGAGCGAACGTTGGCGCTCTTACGGTCCCGGTGTTATTGGCCTCATATGGCCTCTGATGTGGCTCAATGGTGCCAGGCTTGTGAGAGATGCCAAGTGGCAAAGGATGTTCACCCTAAAGCTTATGGCTATATGGGACATTTACTGGCATCACGTCCTAATGAAATTTTGGCCATTGATTATACCACCTTAGAGCCCACCCATAATGGGTTGGAAAATGTTTTGGTCTTGACGGATGTTTTCAGTAAATATACTGTTGCTGTCCCTACACGGGATCAGCGAGCGGCCACTGTGGCTAAGGTTTTGGTGTCTGAATGGTTTTACAAGTTTGGTGTTCCTGCTCGGTTGCACTCCGATCAGGGTCGTAACTTTGAGAGCTTGCTTATCCAGCAGCTGTGTAACTTGTACGGCATAGTAAAATCACGCACCACTCCTTACCATCCAGAAGGAAATGGCCAATGTGAGCGCTTCAATCGGACGCTGCACAATCTGTTAAGAACACTGCCTGTGTCCTGAAAAAGAGATTGGCATGCCTGTTTGCCCCAGGTTCTCTATTGTTATAATACAACTCCTCACCAGTCTACTGGAGAGTCACCATTTCTCTTAATGTTTGGGCAGGAACCTAGATTGCCCCTGGATTTTCTTTTGGGTAGAGTCGAGAGTCCAGTTGGTGGTTCTGTCCATGAGTGGGTTCAAGAACATCAAGCTCGGTTGCAGGTAGCCTTTGATGGGGCTAGGGAGCACCTGAAACATGCTGCAGATCGTCGAAGGCAGACTCATGATACTCGGGTGAAACATCAGCCACTAAAGGAAGGGCAACTCGTGTTTTTGCGTGACTTTACTGCTAGGGGGCCTTATAAGACAAGGGACCGATGGAGCTCTGTGAAGTACAAGGTATTGAGGGCACCAAAGGAGGGTGGCTCTGTTTACACCATTGTGCCTCTGGATGACCAGACTAAAGTAAGACAGGTGCACCGTACCATGTTAAAGCCTGTGGTTGGTGTTGTTCCTCCTGATCACATTTCTCCCCATAACTCGCCTCCTGTGGAAAAGGGACTGTCTGAAGATAGTGGCCCCTTTGATTATGATCTGTTTGTTTGTGAACAGCAACCCCTAGTGGTTGCTTCTGCCTTACCTTCTGGTGGGTTGCTGCCTCAAACTCCATCTCAGGACCTTGGGCCACCTTCTGAACCTGCTGCATCTATTGAACCCTCTACATCTTTGGCTGTCCCATCTACCAGCTATGCTGACCCAGTGGCCCTACGTCGCTCCAGACGTCCAACTGCTGGTCAACATACTAATGTGCACCATCTCCCACGGCCAGCAGGAGACATTCATCTTGGGGGGTCTTCTGCATCTTTGTCAACTCAGTCAGCGTTGTTTAGACCTTGGAACTGATTTTATTAGTTTTGAATCAGCCATCGTCGGGTCGACGATGCAAGAAGGGGGGGTAGAATGTAGTGGCTATACAAATAGCTTTCAGGTGCGAGGTTCAGGTTGGGCAAAGTGGGCGTGGTATATAAGAAGCCACTGCGCCCAATCGGACACACGTCTTCCTCAAGCTTTGGCTGTGACTCGCGTCTCAGGGACTGACAGTCGAAAGGCATGACATTAGGTGCATGCTGCTCTGATCTTGCTGGTAGATTTCCCCTCTCTTTGCACTATTGCTGCTCATTCACAGAAGATCTAAAACGGGTGTGATCATAGGCAAAACGCTACTGTGCGGCTCTCCTCCTCGTCGTCGGTTTGTGTGTGTGTGTGCGCATACATGAGTTTGTCTGGATTGGGAGGTAAGAAGTAACGCTCATTGTTAGCGCCAATTTGTTGCAGTTTTGTTAAATAGTGACTAACTTTTACAGGTCTCCCCATATTACCATTGCTGCTCTGTTGATATTCCGGATTCTGCGCATCATCAACCTCGGATTGTGGTGGCGGCTGCACGCCCTAATTGAAGTGGTGTTTGGCACCGGCGCGCTCCGTTCACCTCCTATTGTTGTGTGGCCAGAGGGTCGCACTGGATTCGGATATTTTAATTTGTTTTTCTTTATTTTTGTCCCAGCCTGTTGGTGTGGTATAACTATTTATATATTTAGGTTGATATTGTTTTCTTTTTGTTGTACATTTTGGCTCGTTGTCTGTATTAATTTGTTTTTTTCTCTCTCTCTCTGCTGACAGTGCTGAGGCCCGGCGGCGGTGTTGGTGTGGTGACGGTGTCTTCCTTTTTTTTTGTGTGCCGTGATTCCTG